TTAGAAGATTAAAGAGTGTTGCAATGACTCAATTCCTTTCTATGAAAAGGAAAATTCCTTTAAAAATTTAAAATTTCATTTAGTACACTTTAATCCTTAATAGATCTTTCCTTTATGCCAAACCCTACATAAACCTATGCATATTATGTATTATGTTAAAATGTAAAACAGCAGAATTCTTTGTATGCAAAGTGAAGATATTTAAATCTCATCAACCCTCCCGTCTGGATAGAATTTCAATGAGAAGATACATTCAACAGTAGCAAACTCTCAATATCACAATAAGGTAAAACTGTCTCAAAAACAAGAATCCAAAAAGCAACAAATGATTTTTTGATCTAACAGAATTCATACTTATAAATATTTAAGGACTACGACATTGGGTTGCAAAGATATCGAGATTTGAAAATCAGAGTTTGTGGCAATGACATGATTCCTTTAAACTCATTTGTAAGAAAGCTAGATATTTTTTTTTAAACCTACTAGCTTAGATTAAAGCCTTGCAGTTTTCTAAACATAACTTCTTTTTTCAACCGTTTTTGAATTATTTATACGTTCCTCTAACATTCATTTTTCCACTCTTGAGTGTAAAATCAACACTAGGTGTTGCAACATCGCAAAAAAGTACCAGTAATTCAGCATAAATTTGGAGTTGTTATTTAGTGTTAAACTGTGGAGGAAGACAAGAAATCCATTTAAAAATTTTATTTCCCGCGCTGGGCCTCCCCCCCCCCTGATTTCCTGGAGTGTTGAAAAGAATTGATGAATTGATGAAGCATAAACAACTAGAAAACAACAAATATTGATGTTTAACCTAAATCGAAAGAAAAGACTGCAGAGGTAGGAAATCAATAGGAAAACAGAAAAACCCAAAGAAAATATTTCTAATTCAATATTGCTCATCAGATATTGCTCATCTCGTATTGCTGATTCAATATTACTAATTCAATATTGCTCATCTGATATTGATGATTTAATATTGCTCATCTGATATTGCTGATTTAATATTGCTGCTTTAATATTGCTCATCTGATATTGCTGATTTAATATTGCTCATCTGATACTGCTGTTTTAATATGGCTGCTTTAATATTGCTCATCTGATATTGCTGATTTAATATTGCTGCTTTAATATTGCTTATCTGATATTGTTGATTTAATATTGCTCATCTGATATTGCTGATTTAATATTTCTCATCTGATATTGCTGATTTAATATTACTAATTCAATATTGCTCATCTGATATTGCTGATTTAATATTGCTCACCTGATATTGCTGATTTAATATGGGTGCTTTAATATTGCTCATCTGATATTGCTGATTTAATATTGCTCATCTGATATTGCTGATTTAATATGGCTGCTTTAATATCTAATTATCTTGATCAAAAAGTGCTAATTCAATATTGCTAGTTTAATTCTGATGATCTAAATTGCTGATTTAATATTGCTAATTTAAAGTATCGTAATTCAATACTACTAATTTAATATTTCTAATTCAATATTGTTCATCTGATATTGCTGATTCAATACTGCTGCTTTAATATTGCTCATCTGATATGGCTGATTTAATATCTCTAATTAATTATCTTGATCAAAAATTTCTAATTCAATATTGCTAGTTTAACCCTGATGATCTAAATTGCTGATTTAATATTACTAATTTAATCGAATAGTGCGAAATGTAAATTTATTTCCTATTTAATTTAATAATAGAAATTGGGTCCTAATTAAAGAATCAAGAGTTTTGAAGAGTTTTGAAATAATAAAAATAATAATAAAAATAATAAATATAATCCACTTGAAGTGATAAACATATAACTCATATTTTTGCAATTAGGCTGAAAGCAGCTTTTAGTGGTCTTTGTTAGTCTAAGTTTAAAGCATAAATTTCACTAGAAAAGTATCATTCATTTGGCGTACCGTCCGGTTTTCCCTTATATAATCTGTATTTGTACTGTACTGCTTGACCTATACTAGTTGAAATTCGGCACAGTATAAGAAATGAACTGGAATGCACTGTGACACGACCAGGTTCTAAAATTGGTTAACAATACTTATAAGTTGTAACCTCTGTGCTGATATTAGTTTTGATTGTAAATATAAGTATCATAACACAATATCTACATGATACAATTAAACAATAAACATAAACATTTAGGTTTAGTCAATTAACATTTAGTTCACATTGATAGTTCATTAACATGCATTCTGGTTAAAGAGTGTCTCCACCAAATTTTGATGACCTTACAAATTATAATTATACATCATTAACTCACGTTTTGTATCCAGCCCAAAAAACTACCATTTTGGAACTTTAATACACTCGTTTTAACGTTTCGTTCGTATAAAAGTAATAAGGTCAAATGCTCTTATCGAATTATGTTTACCGTTGAGCTTCCAATCTTTGTATGACTGTAAAACTGCGAGCCAAAACTAACAATTAGAAAATAAGAAGTAAAATAAAGTTATTGGGTACTATTTATAATACTATTGGACACATGGCTACCAAGTAAGAAAGTCTGACGAACATTAATAAATATAGCTTTCCTTAATGCTAATTAAAACAATAAAATTAAAAGGAGAGATCGCGAAATACAACAGGGGATCAAACATGGACCATTATTCAATGGTTAGCATAACAGTTTGAAGTCAGGAACTAAAGTTTAAATCAAAATTTCATTTCTCTAAACCTGATTCATATGCTGTACAATACAATTTCATTTTTTACCCAAAAGAATGTTCACCATTTCAAATATGACTAATCAACGATAGAAATCCGCCGCTTATATAGCCATTAGAAAATCTCACTTTCAATGCTGTTCAAAAATCATTTCCAAAATTTTATGAGGCTTAAAAATGTGCCCCCCCCCCTGTGAATTCCGCTGTACATATCAATAATGTTTCTATAATAACCCTGTAGAAGCATGTAAGATCCCCCCCAATTGTGTAATGTGTGTTGTATATGGACTAGAGAAGTAAACAAGGTTAGGATGACAAGGTAAGATTGAGATTACAAGATATTAATGGGACTCTCCATGTCATTTTAAATGACCTTCCATTTTACCCCTACTGAAGGGGGGGGGGTCCATAGGAAACAACCCCTCGGCCGCCCCCCCCTTATGATTTTTGGACATAAGTAAATAAAAATATTGATCTGAAATATTGTTCAAGTTTCTTGACTTATCTAGCTCATACAATCTCCTCACATCAGGCTAAAATCTGGGCTTTAAAGCCTACTTCTTGATTCCTCAGGCATGCTGCCTAAAAGCCTTATTGTACCTACACCAGAATAAATCTATAATAAAATCCAATTTCAGTCATTAGATCAACTTTAATATCTTTTTTGAAAGTCTATGACAAAAGGAAACAGAGAAACAAATTTTGCAAAGAAATTTTGCAAAACTTTTTGCACAGGCGCATGTATGTTGATGAAAGGTCAAAAATGTGTATTAAATTGGTTCAGCAGTTTCGGCGTTAATTGGATCAAAACACAAACAATGAAAATAAAATTTTAAGAGAGATTTAGAAGAACAATATTTGTGAAATATCTTTCGTAAAAAAAAACTTAATTGCAAACGAATTGAAAACTTGTCAAAAAATTATTTTTTTATCCTCAAATCTTTGCAGCCTGATGTAATAGACCTTTAATATTCAAAAATAAATTCTGCCACAACAAGTATTTAAATTTGGAAAATTAAGGCATTACCAACATCATGTTGCTAAGATATAGGGATGAGAAAAATTTAAGTTTGTGTCAAGTATTCAGTTCAGAATTAATTTGACCAAACTTGTTTTTTTGAGGGAAAAATAGACAATATGTTAATATGTTGGATAAGCAGGAAGATAAAGGTAGAACTGTGTTGTCTACAGCTGAGGTTCCCTTGGGAATTATATTGCGGTAGGTTAGGATGATATAATTTATATTCCACTGTTGCCCCTTATTCATATCTTCAGAAATTAGTTTTCATTCATCTTTACAACTTATCTTTCAAATTTTCAATCCTTTTCTTAGGAAATAGTTTTTGGGAGTGAAAAAAAAAGTTTTTAGCTTCGTATACATAATACATATGTAGATAGTAATTTCTTATTGGTGCAATATTCATTTATTGTTTTCAAGTTTTTTTTAACTTTTTATTAAACCAAACTATTTCTTTTCCAACAAAGAAAATGTATTGTAGCTTTTGGAAGGATATGACCCCCCCCCCCTCGTAGAAATATCTTTAAATAATTATTTATGTTATTAGAATAAAGGTTTTACTTTTTCCCCTCCTTGTATTCAGGTTTAAATAGAAACATGTATCTAGTCTGAATCCAATAGAGAAACAAACTCATATATATGCCGATATCAGACACTCAATAATCTGTGCTCCTACATCTTCTTAGATTCATCAACTTTAAAACTTTCATTTAGGTTCTACTTTTCGCACAAATATAAAAAAAGTTTAATCTTTAACTTATACAGAATCGCTCCCTTTTACGTTTGGCCTTTTCTTTCATTACCTACATACTAAAATGAAAAAGAAATTCTTTTTATGGCTAATTAATTGTATGAGTATTCGTTTTACCTCAAATAAAAAGGTTAAATTGTTTCTAGAAAGTTACATTTTAAAGTCCCCAACCCCTGAGTAAAAGCAGTACCAACCAAAGAAAGTTGCCTTTCACCCCCTTCTAGATTTAATTATATGGCCCTATCTTGGCCCTTTCTTGGCCCTTTCTTGGCCCTATCTTGACCCTTTCTTTTCATCTAAAAGGGTCGTAATTTCTAAATATCCAGATTCTTGTTTATGTATTTTATCTTTACAAGAAATAGTTTTCTAAAGAGTATCTTTCTCATGATATATCATGTAATCTATAAACAAAAGTAAAACTAAGAAATAAAAAATAATATTTATGAGAACATTATCTAACTGAATCATTAAAACAGAAGAAATTGATTAAAAACATAACAAATTAAAAGATAAAAAATAAGTATAAACAAATGAAAGGTTTGAACCAACCTTAGTCTCGCAGAGTTCGTTGAACTCCTCTCTTGTTTTTAAATAAACTGATTCAAGCCTAAAACACAATAATCAAACTCAAGGTTTAAAAGTTTGGAATTCAGATTTAGAATCGGTATTCCATTTTTAGGATCACAGAAATAAACACTTTCCGAGTAAGAAAAACGACGTGGTCTTCCATAAAGGTTTCAAGGGTACCGTTGTAAATCGGGCATTGCCATCTTTGCATGGAATATCACTTGAAATACGCTTAGCAGTCTCTTTAAGGACTAATCAGACCCTTGATTTGAGGTAATTTAAGAAGTAATAAAATGGTGCTATATCTTAACCTGCACATGGAGAGAATAGAATCCATTGTAAACAAGCTTTCTCCCCTCATACTCTCGTACACTACATGTACATACTCAGCAACTAAACAGAGGCTTCTTTAGTCAAGTTATTAACAAGGAAAATATAAACAAAGGAATTAAGTTTTTGCCACAAACTCAAAAAAGACGATTGATATTCGTCCTAGATAAAAGTATATAAAGACGATTGATATTCGTCCTAGATAAAAATATATAAAGACGATTAACGTTTTCTTTAACTCGGTTTAGAAATAAGTGTGACATGGTCCTAGGGTTTGTGTGACCAAATTATTTATATTTCTATTTTGGATATTCACAAAGGCAGTCTGTACGATTTATATTTTCAAAGAAACATATATGGACACAGTTGAAGAAAATTTGAATTAGCCAGAGGGTGGAAAGCGCACGGAATACGTACGTATAAGAATAAATAAACTAAAACATTGAATTTTAATCAACCCTACGTTCAAAAAATAGACAACTAAATTAAAGACATTATCTATATAGGAACGCTCAATCCAGGAGTGGTTCTTTGATCTTTTTTATTAATAAATCCACGTTATATATAATTACTTATATATGTTAGTTACATAATACATAGTTATTTATATATGTTAGTTACATAATACATAGTTACTTATATATGTTATATCATATGTATATATAAATTTTAAAAATAAATTTAACCTGAACTAAATAAATCTCTTGTGTAACATTACTGACCTCGTGAAGTCAAATATGAACTGGCTAGGCTATTGATTTACAACGGTTTGAGATATTAACAATTGTTTGAGTTTATAAGTATTCAAGGGCAGAAACTTGAAACAAAAGACTTTAAATTTTTAAGCAACTGTTTCCTTTTCCTCTAAAAATCCATATTATACATGGTACCAAAAAAGGTTCAAAGGAATTGAGTTTTTGACACAAACTCTGATTTTCTAATCCCTATTTCCTTGCCACCAATGTGTTAGACCTTTGATATTTCAAACTAGTAGATCAAATAATCTACGATTGAAATATTAAAGATTTGAACCATCAAGTTTTAAAGATATAGGAATAAGAAAATTGGAGTTTGTGGAAAAAATTAATTTTCTTTGTCAATTTTATGACGCTTTTACTGACTTCAGCATTCATTCAAGTTTAAATATCATAATATTCGGGTTTCTAAATTTTAATTAAACCTAGCTGGATTAGCTTTGAGTGGGATAAGGTTTGATAATAGCAATTTAAAGTTCGGATTTTTCCTACAGCGGTAGATTATTCTTTAAGCATGGAAAAATGAAGAATAAAAATATATTTTTCATTTTATGGATGAAAGCATATGAAAAGTTTTCAAAGAAGAAAAACTTATTTTACATAAATTAGCTTGCTAATATGCTGCTGTATATTGTATGTTGTATTTTACATAAATTAGCTTGCTAATATGCTGCTGTATATTGTATATTGTATTTTACATAAATTAGCTTGCTAATATGCTGCTGTATATTGTATATTGTATTTTACATAAATTAGCTTGCTAATATGCTGCTGTATATTGTATATTGTATTTTACATAAATTAGCTTGTCAATATGCTGCTGTATATTGTATATTGTATTTTACATAAATTAGCTTGCTAATATGCTGCTGTATATTGTATATTGTATTTTACATAAATTAGCTTGCTAATATGCTGCTGAATATTGTATATTGTATTTTAAATAAATTAGCTTGTCAATATGCTGCTGTATATTGTATATTGTATTTTACATAAATTAGCTTGCTAATATGCTGCTGCATATTGTATATTGTATTTTACATAAATTAGCTTGCTAATATGCTGCTGTATATTGTATATTGTATTTTACATAAATTAGCTTGCTAATATGCTGCTGTATACTGTATATTGTATTTTCAGTTTGTTTTATTCTGTGGAGAAAACATTTTAGCAAATTTCGGGCTTTGTTAATAAAATTAAAGTGTTTGTAATGATTAAATAGAGATTTATTTGGACTGAAATAATGCTCAATTAAGATTTGTTAGATGTTGAATTAAATTATATATGTGTATAATTAATCTAAAAGTCTAGTGCATTTAACGAAATTGAGTTTTTGTTGCAAACACTGACTTTGAACTCCCTATATCTTTGCAACCCATTGTCGTACACCTTATACATTTCCAACTTAAGATGATTTGATAATACAGAATTTGTCTACAACATCGGGTTGCTCTGATATAGATATTAGAAAATCAGAGTTACGTTTGTCGAAAAGATTCAATTCCAATTAACAATTATTAATCGGTGGAAGATACTTGGTCACGGACCGTTCTTCAAGCCAAAAAAAAATATCTTTTTATTTCCCCAACTTACAAGAGAGCTTTCACGCTGTCATTTGGTAAATATTCACTTTTGGGAAGTAATCATTGTAAGGATATCAATCTATACGTATAATGTATCTCTGTTTGTTTTTCTGTTTGGATGTCCGATCATAACTCATGAACCCCTTGATATATTTGCCTCAAAATTTGATTGGGGAACTCGGTAGAACGACGGAAATGTTTTACCTTATTTTAAAACTTCCATGCTGAATGGGTTGATTTTTTTAAGGAAAGTTTAGATTGCAAGCTAGTTTTCTAATAAAAAAGTGGCGCTAACCTGGATCCCCACACAACCAAGCGTTCCGATTCTCCATGTTTGAGTCAGCTGATCGTCCGGTTCGCGGGGTTAGCTGTTTTCCCAGTTGAGTCTTTCCGCCATTTTGAATCCTGATTGAAACTGAGATAGAATTGTCGATCCCTAAATTGAACATAATCTTGAATGACAACGCCTATTTTTAAAACATAACGTTTTTACCAAATCTTATAAAAATTGGCAATATATAGAATAAAGATATAGTAAAGATAATATTCGAGTTATTTTTGCTCCTTTTCTTTTTAAAATAGCTAAATATTCTCTTTAAAGCAAAAAGACACAAAATTAATGAACTAAATTACCAAAATTACTTACACTTCATATTTTCCTCAAAAATAAATTAAAATTAAGCTAGAAATTCCAAAATTAATTCTGAATTAATATTCTTCCTAAAATCTGCTTTTCATCCTTTCCAGTTTTAAATCTATGCACAAAAATATAAGCCATTAAAAATAATCAACATATTAAAATTAAAAACACAAATAGGAAAATTTTAATATAAAAATTTTAAAAAATCTGGAAATTGTCTGGCTTATAGATAGGCTTCCTTAGATCTCGCTTGAACCGATCAACTCTTGAATTCTTCTTTTTCTCTTTTCTTTTCCGTTTCCGTACCCTGAAAACATAGATTTAATTTTGTGGTAACTTATATGACTGACAGGGGAAGGTTTATGACCGGTTGAGATTTGAAAAGTACTTTCTTTAAAAATATTTCTGTTATTAAAAATGTTGGAGATAAATCAAAGAAACAGTAAAATCCGTGCGAAGATCCTTTTCATCATTTCAAGACGCGTGTAAGACTAATCCACAAAATGTTTAAAGGACGCGTGTTAGACTAAACTACAATATGTATAAAGGACCCGCGTTAGATTAAACTACAATATGTATAAAGGATGCGTGTTAGACTCAACTACAATATGTATAAAGGACGCGTGTTAGACTAAACTACAATATGTATAAAGGACGCGTGTTAGACTAAGCTACAATATGTATAAAGGACGCGTGTTAAGACTAAACTACAATATGTATAAAGGATGCATGTTAGACTAAACTACAATATGTATAAAGGACGCGTGTTAGACTAAACTACAATATGTATAAAGGACGCGTGTTAGACTAAACTACAATATGTATAAAGGATGCAGGTTGAACTAAACTAAAATATGTACAAAGGACGCGTGTTAGACTAAACTTCAATATGTATAAAGGACGGGTGTTAGACTAAACTACAATATGTATAAAGGACGCATGTTAGACTAAACTACAATATGTATAAAGGACGTGTGTTAGACTAAACAATGTGTGTATAAAGGACGCGTGTTAGACTAAGCTACAATATGTATAAAGGATGCGTGTTGGACTAAGCTACAATATGTATGTAATAAATTATGATATCATGCTAGTACTATCTTTATTATCTATGTTCCGTTATCTATTTTATATATGTTCATGTTGACCCTGACCGGCCATTCCGGTCAGTTTAAATTTACCTGTATTAATAAATTAGTATAGTAGCAATAGTCGATTTAGACAGACGTATAGAGAGCCAGAGTTTTGGCTAGAGATTGAGTAAGAGAGACTGATATTAGACTTTGAGTCAAGTATTAGGAGATTGATCGGGACCTAGATTTATTACATGTATAAAGGACGCGTGTTAGAAAAAACTACAATATGTATAAAGGACGCGTGCTAGACTTAACTACAATATGTATAAAGGATGCGTGTTAGACTAAACTACAATATGTATAAAGGACGCGTGTTAGACTAAACTACAATATATATAATAGGACGCGTGATAGACTAATCTACAATATGTATAAAGGACGCATGTTAGACTAAGCTACAATATGTATAAACGACGCGTGATAGACTACTCTACAATATGTATAAAGGACGCGTGTTAGACTAATAGACTAAACTACAATATGTATAAAGGACGCGTGTTAGACTAAACTACAATATATACATAAGACACAGCGTGTTAGACTGTCTGGAGTAAAAAATATATATGCCCAATTACTGCAGATGCAAGGTTTCTTTGAAGTTGGAAAAATCCATTATTTTAGAAAATTTGAATTTTCTGAACAAAGCTAAAAAGATATTGTTAAGACCCAAGGGAATGGGGAAGAAGGGAAGGAGGTGAATAAAAGATATGTTTAATTGCCAACAAGACTAAATGAAACTGATTGAAATGTAAATGAATCAGCAGACAAAAATACTGCAAATTTTAGGATTCACTTGAGACATATAAAACGTTTCCACGATGTAAAATTACTGCGATTGAGTAAAGGTCGACGATCCAAATCATGAATTTGGGTAGGTACGTTTTCAAAATCGGGTTTTTTAAATTGTTAATAAACGACGACGAAAAATAAAGTAAAAATTATATAGTAAACTAATTATAGATGTTTAGAAACTATTTATCGAAAGAAATTTGTCAATGTCAATAAATCAATGTTAGAATCAATTATTTCGTTTTTATCATTATATTGAATTTCTTATTTTCTATTAATTTGTTCGTAGATTTCTACAAATTCTTCGAAAATCGTCTTTTCAATAAAAATTCTAGAAAATCTGAAGAAAATCTTTGTAAATAATGAGAGATTATAGAAACCAATAATTGAATAAGATTACTTATTTTCGTTAATTTTTATTTTCCCAACCTGTTCCTAAACAACTAATTAGTTGAATGTAGTTACATTTTTGGTCGTCCTTATTTATTAATTAAAAAACGATTCTGAAAAGTGAAAACGCACCCACCCAAATTCATGATTTTGAACTTCGACTTCGCGCTCAAACTTATAAAATACGTCGTAGAAACGCTTTATATGTCTCAAATGAATCCTAAAATATTTGTCACAATACTACATATTCAGTTCAACCATCATACATTGCCGGTCACTCCCTTTAAAATGTAAAAAGGGAAATAAAACAAGAGAAGAATAGGAAAGAGATAAAATGAGATGAAACGATAGAAATAAGTTCTAGAAGAGCAAAAAGGTGTAGAGATTAGAAAATATATAAAGTATAAGATTGATGTGCTGAAAAACGAAGACTGTAATGAAAGTTGAAATTGTTCTGAAGGAAAACAAGAAATGGAATGAGAGAAAGAAATCCTTGTTTCAGATTAGAGATGGACAGGTAGATTGGTTATAGTAGCTTAGGATTGGTTATCTTGCTTTTAAGATTGGTTAGTAGCTTAAGATTGGATATCTTGCATTTAAGATTGGTTAGTATAGATTAGACTTGGATATCTTGCTTTTTAGATTGGTTATTAAAAATTATACTTAGATATATCGCACTTTAAAGATTGGTTAGTATAGATTGGACTTGGATTTTGTTGTTTTTTTAAGATATCTTAGAACAGATTAGACTTGGATATGTTGCTTTAAGATTGGTTAGTGTAGATTAAACTTCGATATCTTGCTTTAAAGATTGGTTAGTATAGATTAGACTTGGATATCTTGCTTTTAAGACTGGTTAGTATAGATTAGACTTTGATATCTTGCTTTTAAGATTGGTTAGTATAGATTAGACTTGGATATCTTGCTTTAAAGATTGGTTAGTATAGATTAGACTTGGATATCTTGCTTTTAAGATTGGTTAGTATAGATTAGACTTGGATATCTTGGTTAGATTGGTTAGTAGGTTATGATTGGATATATTGGTTTAAGATTGGTTAGTAGGTTAGGATTTGATATTACCTTGGTTTAAAATTGGTCAGTAGGTTTGGATTGGATATATTGGTTTAAGGTTGGTCAGTAGGTTTGGATTGGATATATTGGTTTTAGATTGGTCAGTAGGTTTGGATTGGATATATTGGTTTAAGATTGGTCAGTAGGTTAGGATTGGATATTACCTTGGTTTAAGATTGGTCTGTAGGATAGGATTGGATATTACCTTGGTTTAAAATTGGTCAGTAGGTTTGGATTGGATATATTGGTTTAAGGTTGGTCAGTAGGTTTGGATTGGATATATTGGTTTAAGGTTGGTCAGAAGGTTAGGATTGGATATATTGGTTTAAGGTTGGTCTGTAGGATAGGATTGGATATTACCTTGGTTTAAGATTGGAATGGATAAATTGGTTTTAAATTGGTCTTCAGGATAGGATTGGATATTACCTTGGTTTAAGATTGGTCAGAAGGTTAGGATTGGATATAAGGGGTCCAACATGGCTGACAGAGTCCAGAAGATTGGACCAAGCGACCAATCTATCACTGATCTCGGTCCCACGTGACTCAAACCCCTAAAATATAACTTCATATAATCTTTTTTCAACAAAAACTTTGAAGAATTGATCATTATATGTAAAACAAAAAATTTCATTCCCTAATAGTAGTTTTCAAAACAAATATATCTTTAAAGAATATAACAATAACTAACACTAATGGTGTGTATATAGATGATTGAAAATAAACATTTATTGAAAATAAACATTTATTGAAAATAAAAGTAATAAAGCTAAACATTTGCTTTTTTGTATTTGTCGTCAATAAAACAGTAATCTGAACATTGTTATTATAACTTCTAAGTTAAAACCCAGTGCAAGCAGACAAAAATATAATAAAAACAAATTTCATTATTTTTATAAACTTTTTTATTACCGCTTGAGGGTCTGAGAAGTCTGGAAGTTCTCCTACAGTGAGTGAGAGCACTATATTAAACAATGAATTAAATTATTTTATAAAAACTATTCTCCCAGGTGGCTGCGTTAAAACTATTCTCCCAGGTGGCTGCGTTAAATTTGTGTTTCTAGGTTTTCTGCAGGTCATTGTTACAACTTTGTCTGAAGTCATACATTTTTTATTTTTCCTTTTAGAAATATTTATTTTCCCCCCGAACTAGCCCTTTTTCAAGAACCTAAGGACGTGAAAACTAAATGTTAAAAAGGACTGTCTTCGTGATTTTAGGTTACCCTCCATATAAAGAGGGGGTGGCCCTATTCACAATGGTACCCTTGCACCTTTTCTTTTTCTGGCATAAAGAGTGTTTATTTATGATAATTTCTCATTTGTTTCTGAACCAAGAAATGCTGAGAAAAGTGTTTAAAAACTCCAGGAAAAGCACAATAAATTGCCAAAGCACAATAAATTGCCAAAGAACAATAAATTGCCAAAGCACAATAAATTGCCAAAGCACAATAAATTGCCAAAGCACAATAAATTGCCAAAGCACAATAAATTGCCAAAGCACAATAAATTGCCAAAGACATGTTCTGCTTAAATCCATTTACGAAAAATTTGGTAAAACAAAAACTCAATATTCCTCTTATTCAGTTCAGATAGTATGTGTAAAGCTTGTCCAGGAGAAGTAAAGAATATATTTGAAAGTTTGAACACTTAAAGTCTGGTCTTCAACGCTTACGCATGAATAAACATTGAACAGTTATTAAAAAGTATACAAATATCAAATGTAACAAATAATCCATAAAAATCCATTCGCAGTTTTTTAAATTTTTTGTTATTTCAAAAAGATGGTTTTCATGTTGTTTTCCTAAAGCTAGAATTGAGAAGGCTCCAGATACTAGAATTACAAGATGTGGTCTGTTAGATAACAGCTGTACATACCTATACACAGTAAACAACAATTAATATTATGTACAATTTTAACTTAGTTTCTTTGTTTTATTTTAATAATCCAATAAAAGTTAAAAATCTTAATTATTTTATTTTTGAAATAAGATATAAATAAGATTTTTTAATAGAATCAATCTAACTGAATGAAATAAAAATGAAAATTCTCAATTGAAATTATTTCTTTAAATTTAAGGAATGAAATTGATTATCTTAAAAAGAATTTTATCAATAAAAACGCAACAAAGAAATAAATGGATCAATTATATCTATAAACTGAAAAAAGGAAGAAACCCCGTACACTGTACAATAAATAGTAACACTGTACACTAAATATTAACACTGTACACTAAATAGTAACAGTGTACACTAAACAGTAACACTATTTGCTGTACGTGTACCCGAGTGTACAGTACAGTGTGCATATTTTCATTGAACACCTAAAGAGGGATATATCATCGGTTTCTTTCACTAAAAATAAATCTGATGTTTAGATTATTATATTCAACAGAATTTATAGTTTTGCATAATTAAGGTCATCAACATTGGGTTGCAACGATGTAGGGATTAAAAAATCGGAAATTGTGGCAGCGACTTAAATCCTTTTGTTTCTAACAAAACAGCGGATGGAAACTCTTCAATAAAAAATCGTCTTTCTCTTCATTTTCTTTACCCTTCACATTTCACCATGAAAGATTTAACTTTACACTATAATTTGTTTATTCTTATATCTTTGCAATTTACTGTCGTAGTCCTTCAATATTGCAAAGTATGAATTTGCGAGATCAAGCAAGGTTTGAAATATCATTATTAGGTTGCAAAGAGTTTGCAGGAAGTTTTGAATTTCCTGGAGGAAAAGGTGGATAAATATCTGTGCAAGGGCTTACCAGTTCATTGTTCTATTCTACAGGTTGGACTAAACCATGCTTGCATTAATTAACTTCTAATTCTCCATGATCTTCACTCATTTTTCTGAAAGAAAAAATGTAATATAAAAATCATTATAAATGCAACATTCAATCTTTTCTAGAAAATAGAAACAATTATATATTTTTTAATGATAAATGAATATTAAAAGAAAAGTAATTATTTTTAATTAGAAACAAATTAATTCTCGACAAAACCATTAAGCAAGCAGGTACGTGGATGTAGAAATGTCCTACTCCTAAAACTGCTTTCAGACCCGTATCAATCCAGGTACAACTCAACCAGGAACTCAAAGTTCACACAAATACCGTAGCCAATATCAATCCGGATACGGCTCAGTCTGTATTCTCATGTATCTGTCCTACAGATACAATCAATTTATATCAAAATGTATACCTATCTTTCAAGATAATGATTCAGGACGCCTCTTGTTTGCTAACCAAGAAATAATTACTCTCACACTGTAATCAAAGTGGAGTATTATCGCAACTGACGTTAATTTTGATATATATTTTACAGGTTAATTTAATAAACATAATTACAAGTTTTGCGTTGTTTTATACAAGAGCGTAGTTAGGCTAATCACAATACAAAATGATGTAGTTATTTAAAGACGTAGTTAGGTTAGGTTAATCGCAGTATAAGTTCTGCGTAATTATTTACAAGCACATTTATATTTACGGACAATGTATCACATGACTTATATGGGTATATTTGCTACGGTATTTATTACATAGATATTTATATATATATATATATATGTGTGTAGTAAATGCCATAATCTTAAAACTTTGTCATTAATTGTATCCGTCCAGGTACAACCCGTCATCTATAAATGTCAACCAGAACACAACATCTCCAGCAATCAATGCCAAACCAATGGACATGATCTTATCAGCTCTGAATATCACACAGGGACACAAGCGTAGCTATCAAACAAGCTCTTAATTGATCAATGCCAAATCTCAAGGCACTATCTCAGCTCGTAATCAAAGTAGAGTCTCTATATCAACTAATTTATATCTTATGTTACAAGTTAACATGAATCGACGTAATTACAAGTTTTATGTCGATATATATATATATATATATATATATACAAAGAGTAGTTTAAGTTTTCTGAACTTATTTATGATTTTAGTTGAGGATAGATAAAACATATTAAAGCTATCTCCACACATGTTTTCAACGTACTTTAAGTTGAATGTACATATTTAAAGGATTAACAGGGATAGATTAGATTAAAACGTAGTTGATCTAATACAATGCATGTTTTAATCATGTTACGTAGCTCATGTTTAATGTATCTAGGTATGAATAGGTTAACAAAAATGCAGAAATCAGTTTAAACAAGCAGATATGTAGACAACAAGGTTACAGTTTAAACAAGCAGATATGTAGACAACAAGTTTACAGTTTAAAGAAGCAGATATGCAGACAACAAGGTTACAGTTTAAAGAAGCAGATATGCAGACAACAAGGTTACAGTTTAAAGAAGCAGATATGCAGACAACAAGTTTACAGTTTAAACAAGCAGATATGCAGACAACAAGTTTACAGTTTAAAAAAGCAGATATGCAGACAACAAGTTTACAGTTTAAAAAAGCAGATATGCAGACAACAAGCTTACGGTTTAAACAAGCAGATATGCAGACAACAAGCTTACGGTTTAAACATGCAGATATGCAGACAACAAGTTTAAGGTTTAAACACGATTATGTGCATAAAACAAGATTAAAATTTAAAGATTAAATCAATCTGCATATCAAGCTCACAGTTTAAACAAGTAAGTATGTCTGTAGATATCAAACTATTCTCACGTAAGCATATTATTTAAAGAAGCAGATATTAAAATACAAAATGCAGAAGTCCTTCAATAGTTTTGAAGAAACGACAAGTTTTAAAAAATCTGATTTTTATTAACAATTTCCCCTAAAATGAAGTCTAGGCAGCTGAAAATTAGACACAATGCATCAAGGAATCGACAGACAATTAGGTTTAATATGCATTGGCATATTATGTGGTTATATATGTATGTATGTATACACAAAATAATGTTCGAATAATGATTTATTTGTTTTGTAAAACCATTTTCTACTAATTACAGGACTGCGGTATATGGAGAACCAATATAGGGAGGATTCAAACCTAGAGAGGCAGGTTAACGAGGCTTGCCCTCCATTATTCTTAGAAAAATATCTAAGTTGAAAAGAATAAAAATCAAATGTTTATTCCTCCTTAGCATTACTACCCAAGCTCTGGTATGGTTCCACTCTTATATTTGCAATACTCCATTAACCATGAGATGAGAGGGAAAGAAGAGAAATTCACATGCACTAAGTACACGTAAACTCCCCCCCCCCCTTCCCATCCATCTATAAAAAGCGTTGCGGATAGATTTAGGTTTGTTTAAAAAGCTACAAGTTTAGGGCTTTCAGGCATAATTTACATCTTATATTTTAAACTTTCTAAAATTATCTTAGATCACTTTCAACCCCAAAACATCGAATCTTTTTAAACCCAGAATTAGCCCAAATATATAGAATATCTAGAACCAACATGAAACATATATTTTTTTTAACAATTTTACACATGTTCTATAATTTATCTTTTTATGATTTCATAAAATAAAATAGTACGAGGTATAGTTAATAGTTATTTGTTTTAAGATTTTCTATACAAATTGTACTATTGACTAATTTATTATACTAGAAATTCAAGGCGCTTCGCGCCCTTCTTTCTAGTCTTAGAAGGCGCTTCGCGCCCATCTTCTAAATTAATTGTGAACATGTTCTCTTTGTGTACATCGTAAAACAAAACAAAAATAATTCGCGGGTTTTCACAAAAAATTTCGCGGATTTTCAAAATTTTCAAACATTTAATGACGATCGAATTTTGATGGAGACAAATATTTAAAATTTTGATGATTCATAAACCTTCCCTGGAGTCCCTAGATGTCCCACAAAAAAATTGGGCTCGATCCGTTCAGCCGTTTTGACGTTTATTGGATACAAACAGACAGACAGACAGACAGACAGACAGACAGACAAACAGACAGACAAGCCAAATTCATATATAGATGTTGAACATTGATTTTTTTCTTCATTTGTATATAATTAGTACAAATCCTGATTTTGCATACACTTCTAATAATCATTCGAGAACCCACATTGTTTAGTTTTTAATTAACTGCAACTTGTACACGTTGAAAAATACGTGGTCTTTTAACAATATTAATTAATTTACCTGTTTGCTAATTAATATAAAACATGATTTTAAAATGAAAATCACTTTTCACGCAGCCCTGACAGGACAAGAAGTATGCTCAAACTGTAGGAAATTTCTTAAACATTGTCATCCATCTATCTATCTAAACTATCAACATTCTTCATTTTTATTAGTTTCGCGGATTATTAAAATCTCGGCCAATGAGATGACAGAGTTCGGATATCTGACCAATGAGAGGAGGAGTCCTTAAACCCCCTGCACAAGGGCCCGTCTGCTCAAAATCAGGTGTTCAAAACTTAGGGGACAGTGGGACGGGAGCCGGTTCATGACGTAATAAACAAAGGTGTTTGGGGGTGGGGGTTGAGAGGGGTAAAAATAAGAACATAGTTATAAGTAAGGTCAAAGTGATAATATTTAAAGAATTCAAAAACAACTGCAGTCCAAAGATACATCATGGACAGGCGCGTATACATGGGGGGGGGGGAGAGTGCCCTCTTGCCCCCCATTGGCATTCAAGGGGGAGCCCTGCCCCTCGATCTGAGATTTATTGACAAAGGTTAAAATCGGGTGTGGTAGTTAAAAAATGCAAGCTTGCACTCATCTGCAAAATGGTGTTCCTTCTTAAAAAGTATGTTGTTAAATTTTCTTGCCGCTTCACACCCTTTTTTTCAAATGTTACCTTTGTATTTTCCTTTCATCTAAAATCCCTCCCCCCCTAATTCATATAAACTATGTATAGCTATGAATTATGCAAGTGTTTGGCATGTCTTCCCGCAACCCCCAGCCAGGGGGAGATTACATTAGGAGAGGAAGGGTGAGAATAAAGAGGACGAAGGACTAATGATAGTCTACAGGAGACTATCGACCTAGGAACTTCAGAGAGTAATACAGAACTTTACAGAGGTATACATTATCATAATATATAGTCCTTGAGTTGGTACAAAGGGGAGTAATCTTCAGGAGACTTCTCCGGAATTCAGAAAGTAATACAGCACTAATTGAGATTCATTATAATATAAGTATTTGAATTGGGACTACAATGGGCTACATGGAAGACATTAAGTAGACTATAAAATAAAAGCATTTTTACGGCGAAGGGTGGGAAATCGTCCAGGATGGAGCAAAAATATTGTACACGCTTCGCACGATAACTTGCCCCTCCCCCATGTCTAAAATATTGTATACGCGGTTCACCATGGAACTCTTATATCTTTGTTTACATGCGCTGATTTTGGGAAGAATGTAAAAAAATCGTTACTGATGGTTCTGATATATACATATCTCTCCCCTATTTCCATGTATACAAATGTAAATAAAGATATGAACAGTTTGATGTATCTTCCAATAGAAGAAATCTAACACTATAAATTGGAATTAAAAACGCAATCTTCGAAAGCAATCTAAAATCAAATACAAGGAGCACTCTAAGGAAATCTATTTTTTACTCAGCTCAACAGAAATATAAAGATGAAACCAGTTTATTCAACTCTAAATAAACCTGAAAATAGCCAATATAAACTTGAAGTTTTAATTATGAAATATGCGTGACCAAAATTTCTGAATTTAAGCTACGCAGTTGAACTACTATAGCACCAACCACCGATTCAAAGTTAAAGAATTTAAGGAAGGATATGAATCATTGATTCAAATTTGAACCGGTGCAGTGGTCATTGCAGTTGGCAGTTCAAATATGAAAACCTTATAACAGCTAAACCTAAATGTTAGAAATTTCAAAACCTACTATTTATTCCTGCATAGTGCATATCATGAATAAATACCAAAAATCGATTATTTTAAAACCTAAACATGTTGATACTTAACACCTAAATCACCATGTAATTAAAAACATAGAAAGGAATTAGTCTTTGTCACAGACTCGATTTTATGAGCCCTATATCTCCTAGGATTTTAGAATTGCTCCCAGGGTTTTGGAATAAAATGTGAAAATTTATCCGACCTTTTATGAAAAGGCCTTTAAAAAAGGAATATTAAAACCGAAAATTGAAAAAGTGCTTTGCTACCCCTTTATTACTGTCTTTGTTCAGATATTTGCAGGGAAAAATCGCAAATTTCAGTCCAAGACCTGATCATATAGTTTTCCTCAGATATCTCAATGATTTGATGATTTTTGGTATAGTTCGCGCAATATAAAAGGCTCTAAAGTTAACATAGAACAATTTTTATTTCGTGAGTGTTGAGTAAAACGCATTTTAAAATGCACCAATCAATTAAAGATTTTTTAGGCGAAAAAATTTGATTTTTCTGAGAAAAAAACTTGGAAATAAGATAATTTATAAAGATATTGAGATGTATTAGATCAGCTCAAATGAAACCTTTATGTGTCTAGCTAAAAAAAGACATTTTTTACATCATCCTTATGCCTAATATCCAAGGAGCCAAATGTGTTGAATTTACAGTTTAAATTATACCCCCCCCCCCCACCTCTAGGAGCTCATGGGGGGCAAAGCATATTTGTCACCCCCTAGATTTTTGTTCTGTATACGCTCTTGGTTAGGAAAGGTTCAGCTGGAGCCATGAGTTAAGTTGATGTAAGTATAGGATGGACATATCATCATTAAGGGTTAAGAAAAAGTTTGTTATATGAGTGGGTTTGGATTAAGTAAGCATGGGTAACGATGGAGACAGCACGTGTAAGTTTGGTCGAAATAAGCCCGGTTTCGGACAAAATAAGCATTGCCATTGGTCAGAAGTATGGATAGCTTAAAGTTAATTACAAAAACACGGAGTTTGACGAATTTAGGGTTTTTGGCTGGAACTAGAAGATAATTCTAGATATTGGAGAAACTAAATCCGACCTCATGAAGGAATGAAAGAAATGTATAGGAAAGAAGATAAATGAATAGATGAGACAAGTCAATGAACCGACCAATATCCACCTCATTAATATTTATTCTAAAGGCTGATAATATAGACTGCGAGGGGTAGAGTTATTTATTTTAAATTTTTTATAATTTTCACTAAGGGTCGATAACCTAAACTATCCTTCCCTCGCAAAGAATTTTGTAGAATTTTTATTTAATTTGATTTTTTTGTGGGTCAAATGCATTTCAAGTTAAGTACAATATGGATACTCTTGCAGAATTCTTGCATTATATATTTGCTGAATATAATAAGAACGCATCCCTTTATTAGCTTACAATCTGATAAAGGTTAATTGGTACTTATAAAAGATTTAAATAATAAAAATCTCAAAATATAAATATTAAACCAGTTACCTAAATTACTGTTGATCTACGCGAAGTATTTTTTCATTCGCAAAATTAGCTTTTTGACCATTTTCAAATTTTAAGAATTTTCTTATAAGATAAAGCTCCTAAAAGGCAGACCAACTTTTTGGAAATTAATTGAGTCTTTGTCACAAACTCTGACTCTCATCCCTATATCTTTGCAGCCCAATGTCATAGACCTTAGCTATTTTCAAACTACGAATTATGTTAGATCAAATAATCTAAGTTTAAAATATCAAAGGTTCACACCATCAGGTTGCTAAGATATAGGGATTAAAAATTTTGAGTTTGTAATATGTATATATGTCTATGAAATATGTAACTACTGTTAATTGTATTCATCATTCTGCTAGGATTGAAATTTAGAAAATATTTGAAACAAAGCTTTATTTTAATTATAAACTGGCTTTGTGAAAAGGGTTGAAATAGTTCATCAAAGGTTAAGTCCCGCAGTTAACCATGATTATAGTCAAATTAGAATAAAACGAAAAGATTAAAACTTATTCTGAAATTGGTATAAATGTCCTTTACATTAATAATACTGACTGCTGATATCAATTATATTAATATTGTTGTATTCTATGTATTAGATCAGTGCTGTTTGACATTTATAGAAATATACAGTTACAAAATTGACATTTTTTCTAATACTCAGTGTTAGAAAGGGGCAAAAAAACTGAAAGATTTGGTTTTCAGTATCCCGGCCCATATAAAAAAGGTGATATTGAAAACTACATCCAACATTTTCATAAGCATGACGAGGATAACAATAAATTAAAATATGAAATCTTTCTTTATAAAACTCATTGACTGTTTTCTTACGACAATGCCAAGTTTTTCAATTTCGAACATATCCCGATTTGAATTTCATATATTTACTTAAAAGAATAAATTAGCTGCTAACTTATGTAAAAAATCTATATTTCCAAACTAACCTGAAATGTAAGGAAAATGGAGATAATGGAGGAAAATGGAGGAATATAAATGAATATGGATGGATTGATATTAATTATATAAGTAACCACGCAGGCGCGTACACATATTTTAGCCAGGGGGGGGGGGCAAGTGTTAGCGCGAAGTTTTTTGCCCCCCCCCTGGCCTTACAAATGCAGTTATTCTACCTTAAGTTTACTACATGTCCCTTATGTAGCCCATTGTAGTCTATTGTAGGGTTATATATTATAATGTATCACTCTGTACGTATTACTCTTTGAAGTCTTTAGTAGTCTCCTGAGACTACTCCCCTTTGTAGTCCACTGAAGTCCCGATTGGAATTAAAAACATTATAATCTTTAACATTTTTATGTAAAAAATTTTTTATCTGTTTTTTATTCACATTTTAAAATCAAAGGGTTGGCTAATTCTAAGAGGGGAGAGGAGCTGAGTTACTTACTAAATTGGTTCTAATTTTATTTCTATCAGAGGTTTCTACTCTGAGTACTTGATATGAATTGCCCCGTACTTCTTGGAATAGGAAGACGACTGTTAGATTCAAGTTCTGATTTTTTAAAGTCCAATAAACATGACACACATGGACACACTGCAGTGTACCAATACACATGCAGTACACACACACTACACATGCAGTACACACACACTGCAGTGTACCAATACACATGGACACACTTTAGTGTACCAATACACATGCAGTACATACACACATCCATTTCAAATGAAAGGTAGATTTTAAAGCTCGATCCTGGTAAATACAAACATCAAATCAACATCCAGTGAGAACCAGAAAAACTTTGGAATATTAATATAGAGTTAGTGATTTAATATGTTACAAGTAAAACTATTGCTTCGTGACAACATAAAATACACGTAATGAATGCTTTGATTTCTGTGACCTTTAAATACGCCTATAATAAAGTTAAACCCTAAATTATCCATA